CATAGAGCCTATCACACCCGATCGTCACGTGGTTTCTCAGCATGAAGAACTTTCGCAACGGTGCATACTCGGGGAGAACACTTATACCTTGAAATTTAGTTAAGGGATCATCTTATAATGCTACCGCCATACTAAGCAAAATAAGATGCATAAAGATAAAAATCACATGCAATAAAAATATGTGACATGATATGGCCATCATTATCTTGTGCTTTTGATCACCATCTCCAAAGCAACATCATGATTTCCATCGTCACCTGCTTGACACCTTGATCTCCATCGTAGCGTCGTGTTCGTCTCACCCCCTATTGCTTTTACGACTATCGCTACCGCTTAGTGGTAAAGTAAAGCAATTACATGGTGTTTGTATTTCATACAATAAAGCGACAACCATAAGGCTCCTGCTAGTTGCCGATAACATTTACAAAACATGATCATCTCATACAACAACGTATATCACATCATGTCTTGACCATATCACATCACAACATGCCCTGCAAAAACAAGTTAGACGTCCTCTACTTTGTTGTTGCAAGTTTTACGTGGCTGCTACGGGCATCTAGCAACAATCGTTCTTACCTACGGCACAAAACCACAACGGTGATTTATCAAGTTTGTTGTTTTAACCTTCAACAAGGACCGGCTGTAGTCAAATTCAATTCAACTAAAGTTGGAGAAACAGACACTTGCTAGCCACCTTTATGCAAAACTAGTTGCATGTCTGTCAGTGGAACCGGTCTCATGAACGCAGTCATGTAAGGTTGGTCCGGGCCGCTTCATCCAACAATACCACCGAATCAAAATAAGACATTGGTGGTAAGCAGTATGACGATCACTGCCCACAACTCTTTGTGTTCTACTCATGCATATCATCTACGTATAAACCTGGCTCGGATGCCACTGTTGGGAAATGTACCATGCAATTTCAAAAAAAATCCTACGCTCACGCAAGATCTATCTAGGAGATGAATAGCAATAAGAGGGGGAGAGTCTATCCACGTACCCTCGTAGACCAAAAGCGGAAGCATTTGCTTAACGCGATTGATGTAGTTGAACGTCTCCTCGTTCCGACCGATCAAGTATCAAACGTACGGCACCTCCGAGTTCTGCACACGTTCAGCGCGATGACGTCCCTCGAGCTCTTGATCCAAAAGAGGGTCGAGGAAGTAGATGAGTTCCATCAGCACGTCGGCATGGTGACAGTGATGGTGACGTGATCCGCGCAGGGCTTCGCCTAAGCGCCGCGAGAATATGACCGGAGGCGTAAACTGTGGAGGGGGGCGCTGCACACGGCTTGGAACAATTGATGTGTGTTGTAGGCGCCCCCTCCCCACGTATATAAAGAAGGAGGGGGAGGAGGCCGGCCCTAGGCGCGCCCCCAAGTAGGAGGAATCCTACTTGGGCTCCTAGTAGGATTCGACCCCCTTTCCTTTTACCAGAAGGGGAAAGGGGGAAAGAGAGAGAGGGGGAGAAGGAAAGGGGGACGCCGCCCCCTCCCCTAGTCCAATTCAACCTCCCTTCCTGTGGGTGCGCTCCACCCCTTTGTGGGCCGGTGTGCCTCCCTCCTATGGCCCATATGGCCCATATCTTCCCCCGGGGGGTTCTGGTAACCCCCCCCCCCCCGGTACTCCGGTATGTACCCGATACATTCCAGAACACTTCCGATATCCGAATACTACCTTCCAATATATCAATATTTACCTTTCGGCCATTTCGAGACTCCTCATCATGTCCGTGATCTCATCCGGGACTCCGAACAATATTCCGTCATCAAAACACATAACTCATATAATACAAATCGTCATCGAACATTAAGTGTGCGGACCCTATGGGTTCGAGAACTATGTAGACATGACCGAGACACCTCTCCGGTAACCAATAGCGGAACCTGGATGCTCATATTGGCTCCCACATATTCTATGAAGATCTTTATCAGTCGAACTGTTATGACAACATACATTATTCCCTTTGTCATCGGTATGTTACTTGCCCAAGATTCGATTGTCGATATCTTCATACCTAGTTCAATCTTGGTATCGGCAAGTCACTTTACTCGTTCCGTAATGCATTATCCCGTAACTAACTCATTAGTCACATTGCTTGCAAGGCTTCATATGATGTGCATTATCGAGAGGGCCCAGAGATACCTCTTCGATACTCGGAGTGACAAATCCTAATCTTGATCTATGCCAACCCAATAAACACCTTCGAAGATACCTGTAGAGCATCTTTATAATCACCCAGTTACGTTCTGACGTTTGATATCACACAAGGCATTCCTCCGGTGTCCGAGAGTTGCATAATCTCATAGTCGGAGGAATATGTATTTGACATGAAGAAAGCAGTAGCAATTAAACTGATTATGCTAAGCTAAAGGATGAGTCTTGTCCATCACATCATTCTCCTAATGATGTGATCCTGTTTATCAAATGACAACACATGTCTATGGCTAGAAAACTTAACCATCTTTGATCAACGAGCTAGTCAAGTAGAGGCATACTAGGACACAGTGTTTTGTCTATGTATTCACGCATGTATCAAGTTTCCGGTTAATACAGTTCTAGCATGAATAATAAACATTTATCATTAATAAGAAAAATATAAATAATAACTTTATTATTGCCTCTAGGGCATATTTCCTTTAGTGGATCCATCCGGAGATTATGCCGCCACACCCATGTTGGGTAAAAACTTCCTTGCCCACCCACTCCACCTGCGTACACACCGCCTTGAACAGCGGTTGGCACTCCGTTCATTGTAGCGTAGACCACGTACGAAGCAAGTGTGTTAAGCAGAAAATAACATGCACAGGAGAAGAATTCGTGTTATTGAAAACCAAATTATTTTTACATAGCCGAAGCGACCACAATAAGACGTACAATCCCACCCTTAATGATTTTGAACCTATTTGAAATACACCCCAACCAATGACAAAAATGTTGGGAAAACCTAAGTCTCATCTTTCTCTCTCTCCCACATCACTAGCCCTCCCACACCATGGGCAAGACCCACTCCGCCGCCAAGGGAGCCCAGGTGTCACGCCGCCCTGGTCCAACACTGCACCTCCACACAGTGTCGCCGGCCAGCGCCGGGGAGAGAGAGGGCCCCGCTACCACCAGCACCTATCGGGCTTTGCCTGGCGGCAGCAAAGGGGGAGGTAGTGGAGGAGGAGGCCTAGTAGCCGCTGGTGACGGGTGCATCCCCTCGATCGTTCGCGGGAGCGACGCGAGGGGAAGGTTTTTTTCCTCCCCCGCCATGACATGGATAGAGGATACTCAAAAACCCAAAAAAACTAAGACTACTGCACGGCTGAACAAGAAACCAGAGCTCCCCTCCCCCTCGCGATGCCAAGACTGCGACCGGAGGGGAAGGGGAGCGGCTGAGTCTCCGGCAGGCGTCCTGGATCTGGAGCTGCCGCCTCCTCCTGTTGTTTCGCGAGAGGGCGGTTCACGGTTGCTGCCCCAAGAGTTTGTAAAAGAGTAACGCTACACGTATAAAAGGATACATGCTTTTACATAAAGGTGGTTTTGATCGAAGATTAAGGGGGAGAAGGGATCCACCCCATGAAAATCAGGGGAAGAGGTTAGTTAGTTTGAAAAGATCCTAGTCAGCATGTAAAAGCATGTAAACCTTTGTATATTTAACATTATTATTCGTAAAAATTGTAATCATGTGCAAGGTTTCAACAGCCAATCAACGGCAGCATTGTCTTCATTCCGTTTTTTATAAGTACTCCCTCCGTTTCTAAATATTTACTTTTTTAGAGATTTCAAATGGACTACCAGTCTACCACATACGCATGTATATAAACATAGTTTAGAGTGTAGATTCACTCATTTTGCTTCGTATATAGTTACTTGTTGAAATCTCTAGAAATACAAATATTTAAGAAGGAAGGGAGTAGTTTGAATCGTCACCACATGTGCCATGCGTAAGCATGTCTTCGGTCTATCCTCCTTCTCGTAACGTGCCCGCTGTATGCGGCACCGACTGCTCGGTGGACA